TAGTGATTTAGAACATTTTTTTTCTGAAAGCTGCCTGTTCGTATCCTTTGACCACTTATGGTAATTAGGGAATGACTTATATTCTTACAAATTTGATTCAGTTCTCTATATATTTGAGAATTGAAGTCTTTATCAGAGACATTTGCTGTAAAAATTTTTCCCCAGCCTTTTGCTTTCTTTCTAATCTTAGTTTCATTAGTTTTGTTTGTGCAAATCCTTTTTAATTTAATGTAATCAAAATTATCCATTTTACATCTAGTTATGTTCTGTTATCTTTTGTTTGGTCATAAATTCTTCCCTTCTCCATAGATCTGAGAAAGAAACTATTCCATGCTCTCCTAATTTACTTATGGTTATCACCCTTTATGTACCCATGTACTCATTTTGATTTCATCTTGGTATACAGTGTGAGATGTTGGTCTATACCTCATTTCTGCCAAGCTGTTTTCCCAGCAGTTTTTGTCAAATATTGAGTTCTTATTCCAAAAGCTTGGATCTTTGGGTTTATTAAATGCTAGATTACTATGGTCATTTACTACTGTGTCTTCTGTGCCTAATCTATTTAATTGATCCTCCAACTGATTATTAGCCAGTACCAGGTCATTTCAGTGGTTACCACTCTATAATATAGTTTGAGATCTGGCATGGCTAGTCTGCCTTCCTTCATATTTAAAAAAATTAATTCCCCTGATATTTTTGACATTTTTTTCTTCCAGATGAATTGTTATTATATTTTTTCTAGCTCTATAAAACAATTCCTGGTAATTTGATTGGTATGGCACTGAATAAGTAAATTAATTTGAGTAGAATTATCATTTTTTATTGTATTGACTAGGCTTACCCATGAGCAATTAGTATTTTTCCAGTTGTTTAGATCTGATTTTATTTGGGTGAAAGTGTTTTGTAATTGTGTTCATATAGTTCCTGGGTTGTCTTGGCAAATAAATTCCCAAGTATTTTATATTGTCTACAGTTATTTTAAAAGGAATTTCTCTTTCTAACTCTTGTTGCTGGACTTTGTTGTTAATATATAGAAATGCTGATGATTTATGTGGGTTTATTTTATATAGAGAGTCAAGGATGACAGGTTTCTAGCCTAGGGGAATGTAGTCACACAGACTTGTGCTCCAATTATATATTCACATACACATTCATATCCTCCAGGGTTCTGAGACCCCTAAAATGTTACTGTGTCATATAACATTCATATCTATTACTAAAAGAAACCCTATCACAGAATCTCAGATTTGGAACCTAAGATGGAATCTCTACTTCATTCTTTTTGGAGTACACTTTTGACTCTCTGGACTTCTTTCTCTTTTCCTTTTTAGGCAATTGGAGTTAAGTGACTTGCCCAGGGTCACACAGCTAATAAGTATCAAGTGTTTGGTCTGAGGCTGTATTTGAACTCAGGTCCTCCTGACTTCAGGGCTGGTGCTCTATCCACTGCGCCACCTAGCTGCCCCCCTGGACTTCTTTCTCCACAATGCTCCAGCAGTCCCCTCCTCTGGGAGATGCTGCTATAGATAGATAGATAGATAGATAGATAGATAGATAGATAGATAGATAGATAGATAGATAGATAGATGGCTGCTATGCTCCTGTAGGCTTCTTGCCCTGGAAGCTGCCTTCACCTCTGTATTTCATTAGCCTTCTCATCTGGGAAAATCCCTCTGCCCCCATGGTCCCTTCCTTGGATTGATTGTTTCTTCCTGGAACCTCCATTTGAAGGCTAGCCATGTTGATTTCTTCATTCCTCTCTGGAGACTATTGTTGATCCTCCAGACTTTTTCCTCCCCCCTCCCTCTGCTTTTCAGCTTTATTTTATGTGTTGTCTTTTCCCTATTGAAATGTAAGCTTCTCACAGGTAGGGACCGGCTTTCTTTTTGGCTTCTCCTTCTACCCATACTGCTTAGCACCAGAGTCAAATAGTAACAGCTCAATGAATGCTTGTTGAATTAACTTGACTTGGAAGGAATCGCCAATGTTATTCACTCCAACATAAGCCTGAAGAAAGTTCCCTTCACCAAGTACTCTACGAGGGGTCAGCTAGTCTTTGCTTGAAGACCTTCTGTAAAGAGGAAACCATTGCCTCCCCAGGTAACCCATTTCACTTCTGGATAGTTTGAATTGTTGGGAAGTTTTTTTCCTTCCTTCAAGCCTAAAGTTGCCTGTTTGCGATTTTTACCCATGAAGAACCAAACAGAATATGTTATAACTCCTCTCAAAACAGCCTCTCCTCCCAGGTCCTCACTTTACGGGGGGGACAATGACAAGTCACTGAATTGCATCTGCTGAGGGTATTGTCCTGATAAGGACAATGATTGGTGAGATAAACTTAGCAACCCCCAGAAATATTATCTTCCCTGCCTGAGTTGGGGAAACACGCTACTTTTCTAACTCAGCAATGCCTTTAAGGTCTACCTTTCTCTCCTTCCCACAAGAAGGGAGAAACCTAATCAGCAATGCCCTTTTCTGCTCCTGTAGTTAGAAGCTCCTCATGCCAGCCACTCTATATCCAATAAACAGCCTCCGTTTTGCCCTTTTGTTCCTCATTATTGTATAGTCTCCCTTTATATAAAAGAAATTATGTAGCCACTAACCCTTGTTGCACATCTATGCAAGCAACGCAGATAGAGGTTGGGGAAACCAGTTAGTCTGAGAAAAGTGGGAGATGCATCCAGCCTCCAGTGAGAAGAAGGTGGAGAGTCAGGAAAGCGATGATTTCTAACGCCCCATCCATCACAGGTAACAAATCTTTTGGGGCACTCCACGACCATATCCATTGGCCAACCTGAAGTGACTTACAGAGTGTAAATAGAAAGAGATTATAACCAGAAGAGAATTTTTTAATATCCACACCCTAGGCTAGAGAGGATAAGTTCCTTGGGGCAGACATGAGTCATCCTAGGATGGAGCAGGAAGAAAGATTTGTCTTCCCTGGGAACCACATGAATCCTTCTGGGTTCCTTTATTAGTACACTTGTCCCCCATCCTACCTCCCCTTTCAGCAGCTTCCTGGTAGGTGAGGATATTTACAGAGGGAGGGACTCCCCTCAGTCTCTCACTCATTATTGTCCTATTTACATGCCCACACCAGTATCTTCTCACACATATTTCACTCTATTCCATATAGGGACATCGTGTCCCCTCTAACCCTGCCCCACTCCCTTCACCCCCACCATGTTACATGTAGAGGCTACCATTCTCTAGAGTTTTATCATTCTCCCAAGGGAGGAGAGATCCAAAGCCTTTTTATATTTTTATATACTATATTAATATATTTTATGTATTAATACTTCACATATATTTAGATATGGACAAAGTCTAACACATTACACACACACACACACACACATACACACACACACACACACACACACACACACACACACACACACACACACGCTCAGAGGCATTTATCAGGGCCTGTCAAAGCCCCATTCATGATTAGTCATCTGTCAAAATGTTGTTCAGATGTGACTATGATCTCTTTCCTCTTCCTCCTCCCTCTCCACAGCTGCATGAGGGGTGGAGCCTAGGGGATGGGGGTGGGGGACAACCCAATAAGGGGATGGGGTTTTTCCCTTCATTGACCCATTATTTCCCCACTTCTGTGTCACTGTCTCTGTGACTAGATTCTCACTTTCAGAAAGAAACCGTTGAGGCTGTTTTCAGGTTGCTTCTCTGCGCTGCCCATGCCCATTCTTGTGACCGACAGTCCCCTCTGATTCTTGGGTACTGCCCGCCACAATGATTTCTTCCATTCCAGGGGTTATTCTCCAATAGAATACAGGCTCCTTAAGGGCAGGAACTATTACTTTTTTTCCTCTGCTTTCTCAGTACCTAGCAGATCACCTAGTGTTTAGTAGGCTTTTAATAAATGCTTGGTGGTTGATTGATTGATCAGTCTTGATAGCCTGGAGTAGGACACTTAGGGGCCAGTTCTAGCATCCTGGACCTCTTTTGGCTAGGGGTTAGTGAAGAGCAGCAACTTTAATTGAGGATGTCAATTTCATTACCTGCAAAATGAAAGTGTTGGTCTAGAAATGATCTCTAAATTCCATTCTAGCTCTGTCAATAGACCGTTCATCCATGACGCAGGAGGGTGGCCAAAATGGGAGATGGGGAAGGAAAGAACCCTAAGCAGGACTGCTAGTGGTAGCTAGAGAGGGACCGCCTGGTCCTTGGTCCTCTGAGTCCTCACAAGGTACCCAATGCCTGGAGGATTCTAGTCCCACATTCCTGAGAATCTGACTCTGGAGACTGGGTGGGCTGGGTGCTGGCAAATACAGAACTGTCATCACAGTCAGTTAACCAACACTTTTGATTGAGCACCTTCTGTATACACAGCCCTATAGAAGGAATAATAATGAAAAATGGGGAACATGGTTCCCATCTTTGGGGGAAATCATGTTCTGATAACACCATCCTAGGGAATTAAGTGGAGGAAGAATAGTCTCCCTTTTTGGGAGTTGGGTTAGAAAGATATAGACATTTCTCGGGGGACCCTCTAGTCTGACGACATAGTCCCTGTAACTCCCCATAGACTGAACCTGTCAATATGCTGGAGAGACAGGTTAGAGTCCCTAAGTGCTCAAAGAATACAGAGTAGAAGGCATTGGTGGGGAGGGGTGGGGGTGGGTGGGGGTGGTCAGAGTAGGGGAGAATGGAGTTAGACAGAGAAGGCATCCTGGAGGAAATGATCCTATGAAACTTGCTCCCATTCCCAAGCCTCAGTTTTCCCGTCTCCTGCCTCTGGCCCCTCTCCTCTGAGCCTGCTCCTTCTCCTGAGCCTCAGTTTCTCCTTCCCCTGTGCCCTCCCTTCTTGTCACTAATACCATTCTGTTTCTATTTTTGAGAAATTGAGAAATTTTGAGAAAACCTCTCGCTTTGCTGACTCCAGCTGGAGGGTAATTTCTTATATCTTCCTCTTTTTGAGACTAAAAATCATCTGGTAAAGAGCTGCGCAGTGTGACATGCTCTCAGTAGGAAGTGGGCAGAGAGCTTCAGAGGGACGGAGGGGAGCAGACATAAAGTGGGCAAGGGAGGAGGGGGATCAGATAAGGAGAAGGGGGCAGACAGCAAAAGGGAGACAGAAGAAGGGGAAAGGGTGAAGAGACGGTGGGAGAGGTTTGGAGGGGAGGGACCATAAGGAATTCAGGAGCATGGCTGAGTCCATCACCTATGCACATCTGCGCTTTGTGAAATCCCCTCTGAAGAAGACTCTTTCAGCTAGGCTGAAGCAGGGTAAGAGCCCTTGAAACTTCTCAACCTTAACAAAGCCTTGATACTATCCCCTACTCTGATCTCCACCCTCCTGGGATTCTCCCCTCTCTGAAGCTGACTCCTTTTATGCCCCATCTCTTCTGAACCCACTCCCCTATAGTCAATTTCCCTTCACTGACACCATTTCCCTATACCCCATTCCCCTTTACTTACACCATCTCCCTATAGTTCATCATCCTTTAAGAAACCATTTTCCTACAGTCCATCCTCCTTAACATAAGTTCATTCTCCTTCATTGCCTTGTAGCCCATAAATATTTATTGATTGACTGATTATCCTTTTCTGACTGAGTATATCTCCCTCTAACCCCATCCTGGTCACTGACTTATCCCATTCCCCCACTGACTGACTCCATCAATCCCTGAATGACTCCCCCACCCCACTCAACACATACACTGACTACTCCATTTCTCCAGTGACTGAACTCCTTTATGTCGACACCACACACTATTAACTGATACCCCCACAATGACTCTGTCTCACTGGCTCTAACTCCCAGTGACTTTTCCCATATGCTATCCCCACTTTTCTAACCCATCTCCCGCCCCTATGCAATTATCTAGCTTTCCAATCACTAATTACTCTTCCTGTGCTGGTCCCATCCCCTAAATCTTGTTATTGACTCCCTTATTACTATTGGCCAGCACTCCTCAGTGACTAACCCCCATACGCTGACCCCATCCCCAGTTAGCCATTTCCTTATCTTTCTCCCCCCTCTTCCAGACCCTGAGGTGGATGAAGATGGGGAGCTCACCTATGAAAATGTGCAGGTGCCTTCAGCCAAGGATGTGTTCCCCAGCCCAGCTCAGCCTGGTCTTGGGGAACAAACAGGTAGGTGTTCCAGGACACTCTGAGGGGACTGCATACTGAGGACCAGTAGGGTTAGAGTGGAGGAGGATTGTCAGGGGGTCCCTAGGGACTTTAGGGAGAGGGGAGAGGATCCTGCATATACCTGGGGAAGATGGAATTAGGACCAAGGCAGATGGAAGTGTCCCTGGGGAAATGGGACTAACCAGGGGGGTGGTTAGAGAGATATGGGAAGATTCAGAAATAGAGGGGTAGCCATGGAAGGATACTTTGAAGATGGATTTACCCTTCTATCCCCAGGAGGGGAAAAGACAGAAAAACCTGTTACTGTACCTCATTCAGTGACAACACCAATTGCCAGGAGGATTCTGCCCTGTAAGTAATAATCACCAGGCACTTTGAGGCCAGTCTGAGTCTGGGGGTGGGAGCACTTTGGGGCAGGGAAATCCTGAAACAGAAAAAGTTGGGGCAGGGGAAGAAGAGGGGATAACCTTAAGAGAAAGAAAGGGGCAGGAAAAAAAGGAGCACCAAGACCTAGAAACACAGGGCATTGGGCCCTAGGAGAGGATTTCTAGGACTGATGTTGTTAGTACTACTCTGGGGCCAGCCTTAGAGAGTGCACAGTTGGAACACACACCCCAGAATCTGCACTCCACTCCAGTATTGGACTTGGATATAGGGTACTGCAATGGCCAGGGGAGGAAAGATGGAGGAGAGGATCCTTGGATGCCCAGTACTAGGTGGGACTAGATGATGAGAAAGAGCCTAGTACAGGTGATTCCTATTGTCCCGGGGGCACAAATTCAGCCACATAATGGCCCCCTCTTATAAGAGCACCCACCCTACCTTTGTCCTGATCCCTTCATCCTTTCCCTTAAACTCCTTCCCTCCCTATAATACCCACCAAACTGTGCCTTGACCCAATCCCCTTCCTATAAGAGGGCCTTGCCACATACCCCTACTATCCCTATCAGGTCCCCATCCTTATAACTGACCCCTTCTGTAACTGTCCCTTTCTATCCTGTAAACCCCAACACCCTCCCAACACAGACTGGCCTATGATCCCAACCTTTGTCTCCTCAGGCCCTGTGGCCTGGACACCACACATTCTCCTGAGCCTGCTGGGCAGCTGTTTGCTGTTGGGGGTCACTACTATCAGCCTGGGCATTCAATGTGAGTATGGTCTTCTTTTGCAGAGCATCTTTTAAACATTATATTATTTTTTTTCCCAATTATCAAGCATTCATTTTTTTTTCCCCTTCCCTCTCTCTTTCCCCAGCCTCCATCAAAACAAAACAAAATAAAACCTTGAAACACATATGCATAGTCAAGCAAAACAAATTCCCATATTGGCTATGTCCAAAAATATATGTCTCATTCTGCATCATTGAGTCCATCACCTCTCTACTGGAGGTTGGCACCATTCATCATCAGTCTCTGGAATTAGAGTAGATCATTGCATTGATCAGAGATTTTAGTCATTTCAAAATTATTTGTTTTTATATTTGTTGTTATAAATTGTTCTCTGGTTCTAGTCATTTTACTTCCTTGTAACTTATTTTAATAGTCACCCTGAATGGAGACAGAGGAGCTGGTTTGGGCAGGGACACAAGACCTCTCCTTTCCTTATCTCTAGTCCCTCTCTACCTCTCTGGAGGCATACACCTCTGCCTGATTCACCAACCACTTCTAGCTTGTACTCTTCATTCCTGGGAAATCTCCAAATATTATTCCTTATTACTAGACTGTGTTAAAATTCTATCTTGTTCTGGTCCCCCTGCCCCACCCACCACACCCCCATCCTTCTAGTCAGTATAGTGAATAAGTTCATAAGGAGCCAGTACAAAGTGGTAATAGCAGTAAATAAGATTGCAAAGGGGAACCTGAAGTCATGTACAGACTATCCCAAAGATCAAAGGAGCATAATATGCAAACTGTATCATACATAACCAAAAATCACATGCTGGGAATGTGTGCTAAATTGGGGAAAAGCCATCTAGGCTTTGAAGACCTTTGGGTTCTATGATACGTAAATCTCAGATAAGTTCTACACATCTCCAGTATGACAATAGTGCTGGTGTGGATATATTAACTTTGAAGTTTTATTGACAACTTTGAGGTGATTTGGATATGTTAATGAACTAACTTCAAAGTGGCACAGGTAAGAATATGTCCCCCCCCAAAACCTATAAAAATGAGACTTCAAACTCCTCTCCTCCCCCACCTCACCTTGCTCCATGCATTTTCCTGTCTCCATTGGGTCCATGCTGCCTAGTACTTCCAACTTGAATCCATGATAATGTAAGATACTCTGTGACATTTCCCCTCTCCTTCCTCTTCTTCCTGCTACTTACCTCTATACCCTATCCCCCTACTTATAATTGCATAAATACATTAGCAATTTATCTATGAAGGTAGTGACTATGTCTTGGCTAGATCTTGTGTATTCTCTGGCACCTAGCATGATGCTCTCTATACATAGCAGGTGACTTATGAATGTTTATTGTGGTGGTGGTCCCTATAGCTCTGTGCTTTCCTAGATCCACCTCTTTCTTGAGCCTTTAGCTTCTTAAACCCCCATTATTGAGTCCACAAGAACCCAATTTCAGTAAGACAAGTAGCTGAAAGATGTCACTTGTCTTGAAACTTGCAAGAAATAGAGAAAAATGATAAATACTTATAAGGTTGGAAAAACCATGAGTTCAGCTTTTTTCACCATCCCTGTTTTTCTGTGCCCAAAAGATATGCAGATATCCCACCAGCTTAGAAATACCAACCAGGTCCTGGAAGTCACCAATGGTAGCCTATGGCAGAAGCTCGAAATGGGGGTTATCCACTTGTCAAGGAAGGAAATGGATCTGCAGGCTGCCAGGGAGGAGCTGGCCCAGACCCAGCAAAAGCTGGAGGTAGAAAAGGGGCAGCACCAAGCTGCTGAGAACTACCTGCTGACCTGCAGGTTGGAATGGAATAAGACAGAACTGAGCCTGAAGGACAATATGGAGGAGAAGAAAAACCTGGAAGAAAAGCTGAAAACCTTGCAGAATAGGCTGAAGCAAGTTCAGCCCCTTTTCAGTTGCCCATCCCAAAGAAATGGTACGGGGTTTGGTGGAAGGGTAGGGAAGGGGAGATTGATGGAGCTGATAAGAGACCAGCAAGACAACTGTGGAGAACATGTGGGGAGACAGAAAGCATGGGGTAGTGGGGAAAATGTTAGACTAGAAGTTAGAATAACTCGTAATCTTTGATGCCTCCTTATGCATTCTTTCAATATCTGAGCATCTTATATACAAGATACTTTGCTAAGCACTAAGGGGAGCATCAAAATTCATGACACAGTCTTTGGCCTTCTAAGAACTTAAAGTCTAGGAGTGAGAAGAAGGACAAGTAGATGGATTGCTCAATCCAGGGCAGAACGTTGACAAATGTCACACAGGTGGAATAGACTAGTGCCATCTGGCTGTCAACCAACCCCTCAACCTTGATGATTCCTTCTTTGCCCTCTCCCTGGAATTTTCCTTGTCTTCACCACTCTCATTGATTGGACTGGAAGGATGGGTAAGATTTAGACAGTCAGAAAGGAAAGGAAGGGTTTTCCATCCAGGGTGTATGGAGGTTGGACAACATAAAGTCTGCTTGATGAGGAGACCTGTTTAGCTATAGCACTGAGGTAATGAGAAGTGGACATGGTACAATGGAGAGAGGGGACCCAGGTTGGGATCCCAGGAATCTCTATCACCTATGACCTTTGTAACCTTGGGTAAGGCTTTGCCACTCTGGGATTTAGCTTCTGCACCTAAAATATAAAGGATGGACTGGAGGGTCTCTAAATTCTCTTTCAGCTCCAAATCTATGATCTTATCCTCCTAATGTAGGGGAGTAGTGGGAAATGTAGGTTGGGATTAGGGTTAAGGCTGTGAATCATTGGGAGAAGGAATTTGGTCTTTGTAACAATAATAGCTAGTATTTATATGGCTTTAAGGTTTGCAAACCTTTTTTTTTTTTTGGCTAGGCAATGGGGTTAAGTGACTTGCCCAGGGTCACATAGCTAGTAAGTATCAAGTGTCTGAGGTCACATTTGAACTCAGGTCCTCCTGACTCCAGGGCTGGTGCTCTATCTACTGCGCCACCTAGTTGCCCCCAAACCCCCTTTTTTAGATATTATCTTACAACAGTCCTGTGGAATAGGTGCTATTACCATCCCCACATTATGGGATGAGGATATTTATTTTTGTTTCCTCATCTGAAGAATTATGCCCATTATATAGTTGAGGAAACTGAGGCTCACAGAGATTAAGTTTTTTGCCCAGGGTCACACAGCTAGTGTCTGAGGTCTAATATGAATTCGTGTCTTCCCAGCTCAAAGTCCAGCATGCCATTAGAGGTTGATAGGTGGTGCAGTGGTTAGAGCACTGGACCTGAAGTTAGAAAGACCTAAATTCAAATCTAGCCCCAGAGGCTTACTGGCTGTGTGACTCTGGGCAAGTCACTTAACCTCTCTGAACCTCAATTTCCTCAACTGTAAAATGGGGATAATAATAGCCTCTCCCTCTCAGGGTTGTTTTGAGGATCAAATGAGATAATATTTGTAAAGTTTATAAGACTTTTGTGAGGTTCAACTGGGACAGAACTTGTGAATGTCTTCTGAAAAGTATATAGACTTATTCAGGTATAAAGATGACCTCCAGAGAAAAAGAGAGAGGAAGGATAATAGCAAAGACCACATGGACTAGAAGTTCAAGAAGAAGCTAAGATGCAATCCCATGGGCCATGTCACTATCACCTGCACTGCCTAATCAGTCATAGAAAAGAACCATGGGGTGGGGGTGAGTGGGAAAGGTGGAGGAAAAGAGAAGGGAACAAGCATTTATTAAATACCGACTATGTGCTAGGCACTGGGCTACGTGCTTTCCAAATATCTCATTTAATCCTCCTCTCTTGGAGGTAGGTGCTATCATGCTCCTCATTTACAACTGAGGAAAATGGAGGTTAAGTGACTTGCCTAGGGTCCCACAGCTAATATGTGTCTGAGGACAGATTTGAACTCAGGTCTTCCATCCACTGAGTCATCTAGATGCCTCAGTCATAGAATACTAAGGAGCCATTTCCAACCTAAACCAGTGCTGTGATCTCCTTCCTAGGCCAGGAGAGGAGATATCTTCACCAGTTCCCAGAAAACTGCTGTCCCTTGGGGTGGATGCTATTTAAGAGGAAATGCCTGTACGTCTCAAGTAGCCGGAAGACTTGGAAGGAGAGTGAATTGTTTTGTCAATCTCTATCCTCAAAGCTGTTGGTTTTTGAGTCATTGCAAGAAAAAGTAAGAGTTCCTTGTTCTAGGGCTTCACATAGGTTCTCTGCTCCCCTAGCAGACTGGCAAAATAGAACATGTATTGTTACAGTTCCCTGGCCAGCTCTGTGACCTCTCGAGGGTGACTGGCAGTGGCAATAGGGGTCCTTGGCTATCATAGGACTCGTGGTGCTCCCCTTCCCCCGTTGCTCCTCAATCTTATGAACTAGGGTCACGGAGGCTCATTGTGTAGAGTGAGACCAAACCTACTGAACTGGCTCACCCTCTTGGCCTAGGACTAGTGAGTGTCCTTCCCTATCTTGAAGCTGAGCCTACTGTAGGGCTCACCCAGGGTTTTCAGGGCTGTGTTTGAAAGAAGCTGGGATGAACCACTGGGAGGGGGTCCACCTTTTGTGCTGGTATCATGAAGGCACACACAGTTCCCCTGACTAGTAGGCCTCCCTGAGGTGTCCTCATTCTCCCATAAACTTTACTTATCTTTTCCTCTGCACTTCCTCCACCCAACCCAGTCTGTATTTCAAACCAGGAATCCTTAAGGCAGATAATTATCAGAGAGAAACCATTTGGTGATTTCTGGATCCAGGGATGGCAAATGAAGAACAAGAGAGATCGAGATCTGTAAGTTTCCTGTAGACATAGTAACCATGTCCCCCTACCAGCTCTCCTCTCTACCCAAGTCCTTTACTTCAATATCACATCACCCCATGGCCGGGTGTAACTTTGGCCATAGCCCTCTTAAGAGTGGAGGGAAGCTAAATGAGCAAGTAGCTCACGAAGCCCTAAGCAGGATGAAAAGGAACCCAGGCATCCTAACATAGTGTCTCTGACCAAAATGCTCCCAAGTGTGGGTGACCAGAGGATCCCCTTGGGTCAGCTCTGAGGGTAGCATGGGCAGTGATGAACCCTGCCAGTGAGAAAGAAAAGTGGGAATTTCAGGGGCCCCAACTTGAGAGGTGGCTATTCCAGGATCCCAAAACCAGTGTGAGGGGGCAGATCTTTAGTCTAGAAGTAATTATCTGATAATTCCCATTTCCTCTTCCAGCTCCCTCATTGTGGTGCCACTGTTGGCCCTAAAGCCCCCTGTAGACCCTGCTGCTTCATAGACCTGACTCAGCCACTTTATCCTGTTTCCATACCCCTCCTGTAACAATGGCCCTCCGCCCCCACCTCTCCTTCAAAGACTTGATTTGGGATTGGGCTATTTTTTTTGGGGGGGGAAGGGTATGTTGAAGGGGTTAAGCAGAGGGAGTGATTTCAGTAGACTTCTATGGAGTGGGAGAAGGTTGGAGTCACCAAAAGAGGGTGATTCCACTTCAAACAAACTCCATTTCATTGCTCCCCAGAAATACATTGTGTTCAACTTTGAAACATTACACTTACACTTACTACTCAAGGGACTCCTGTGACGAGACTTTGTCCTTCATCTGTGAGAAAGAAGCCATCATATATCCTGTTGAGATGGGGGACCACTTCTTTGACTGAGCTGGGTAAGGGTAGGGAGCAGCTCCAGAGAGGCTTAGAGTAACTAGGTGGTTGTTACGTGGCAGCTCCCTTTCTTGCTTCTCATATCGCCCCCTCTCCCCTCAGAGGAGGGGTCTAGAATGTACAGAGGGGACCAAGGATTACCAAAGTTCTAATACCAGCCCCGACAGAGGGTTGTGAGATTGTTGAGGGGCAATGGGCAAGCAGGGGGCAGATTCATACTCTGTATTTTTGGGGTGTAAGGGGAGTCAAGGTCCAAGACCAAAACTATAGGAAGCCTTTGAGATGGTCAACCAGAGCCCAGTGGAGTTCTCTGGTAGACCTCGAGAGAGGGGAAAGTGGGGAGTTTTACACATTTCCCCAGCTTAGGAAATTGGGGAGGGGGTAGGGAAGGGCAACAAAGTAGAGTCTCACTGGAGCTCTACTCTTTCAGATCTTGTCATTGAAATCTCCCTTTTTCTCTCTCCTCCCTGTCCCTATTCCTGGTCCAAAGCTTCAGGATTCATCTTCTCAAGTCCTCTAGGCCTGTGTGGTCAGTGCCTAGATTGAGGACTGAATGAACACTTCTCTAAAGCAGTATTCACATCTGATCCCATCCTCTACTTCAAATCTTGTTCAAGAGAGCACCAGCCTCAAGTAGGGGGATTTGGCTTCTAGCATCTTCATGGAGGCCCCTGGTCCAATCTTAGGCCTCCACGAGAGGTGTTTGCTCTAGGGAGGGGGTAAGAAGCAGGGGGAAGAGGATACATGGGCAGATTGGGTGCGGGCGGCCCGGAGCCAGCCAGGCAGTTTTATTGAAATACTTTTAAATAATTTGTGTTAGTCTTGTGTGTCAGCCACACCATATGTGTCCACGTCAGTGATGCCGTGTTGGACCCTGGAGGGTCCTGGGGTTTGGCTTAAGGAGTGCTCTAGCCTTGGAGTCCAAGCTGGTTTGGGGAGGGTGTCCTGTGGCTACCAGTTCTGTCCCAGCCACCACTGCCCAACAGCAGACTCCAGTCTCTTGAACCTAGGCAGGGAGTGGGTTGCTGAGTCTGGCACTGCCCAGGCTCTAACTGCTATATTCAGGAGATAGTCCATCAGCTTTCTGAAGACCAAAGTTCAGGGCACAAGGGACAAGACCTCCCCCACTCCCTGTTGCTAGGAGCGGGCTCCAGGCAGCTGTAGGCCAGGCGTGGGTGGCTTGGCATGGTGCCCTCTGTGGCAGAGGAGGCTGCCGGCCTCACAGTTCAGATTGCGGTAGCGGGCTACAGCAGGTGTGGGTCGGGGGCACACGGACAGGAAACTGAAGCTGAAGGGGCCAAGGCAACAGCCGGGGCAGGGCAGCCCCTCGTCTGGGTCCCTGGGGGCCATGGTCGGGGGAAGGGTAGGAGGCTCAGTCCGTTCTAGGGCTGTGGCCTGGGGCAGGCTCCGCTGAGCTCTGCCCCAGGGTTGGCCACCCCAGCCTGTAGGGGAGCTCACTACCACAGGTGAAGGATTGTTGTTAATCAGGAGTCCTGTGGACGGTCCTGCCCTGGAGGACCAGAGCTGGGAGGCTGAGGAACAGGTGCTGATGAAATTGTCGTTGATTTCAGCAGGGAATGGGTAGGGCCTAGGCCCTGGGGGCTCTGTTTCAGGACTGCTGCCCCCACAATCCATCCCGTCCTCAGAAAAGGGGCCCACAGGAGGTGGGCCAGGCCCAGGTAGAACAGTCTCCATCCGGCGAGGCAGCTCTGGAGAGGAGGGTAGAGAGCGGCATCTTCGGGCAGGGGTTCCTGGTACGGGGCGGGAGTAAGGTAGCTGAACCAGAGGCTCAGGTGTGGTCACCGGAGTTGGGGTGGCAGTGGGCAGTGGCAACAGGGGGATGGCCCTTCTGCTGGGTGTGTCCAAGAGCTTGATCTTGCCACCCCAAAGGTCTTCCCTCTGTGAGAAGGGGTTGACTCGGGCCTGGGTATCTCCCCAGCAAGGGAGCAACCCTGGGGATGGTGGAAGGAATAGGTCAGAGCGGCTGCGAGCAAGCCGGGGATCAGGGGGTAGTGGCAAGTGCTGAGGAGGAGCAGTAGATGGACCATCTCTTGGGGCTGACGCTGTGGACAGAGAAAGTGGTGGTCAATGTTTCAAGCCCCTAGCCACGATCCCGCTTTTCCAAAGACTTCCCCAACCCTTGCCTGAGCCCCTCACAAGCTCTTGACAAACCTCCTTCTGATCAGTCCAAGGGCCCAGTAAAGTAATTCTCCTCTCATTACTCCTACACCCTAGCTCAAAAGAGCCTGAAAAGTGCTTCCTATGTCATCACACAGAGGATGGATTGTGGGAGTGGCAAGCAGAAAGGTCCCAAGGGTTCCCCCCACTGCACCCAAATGACTACCTGCCCATCCTGACTGACTTTCAGTGCAGGATCATAGGTCAAGAACTGAGAGGGAGCTTAGAGATCATCTTCCCTCTCGAGTTGAATTCTCCTCATTTTGTAGTTAAGGAAACTGAGGCCCACATAGGTTACATGATTGCCCAAGCAGAACTGGTATCTGAGCCTGGGTCTTCCACTACACTACACTGCCCTACCCCCTCTCTCTTTTAAAAATATTTTTTTTAATTCTATATTTAGCAAACAGGAAATAAAATGGGCATTTCTGTATACATAGGAGAACAGAAAAGAGGATTGCACATGAAACTGTTGGATCTGTTATGTAAAGTTGGCTTTTAAAAAAGAAACGATCAATTCAACAAATAACTTTCAAAGTTGTCCTATGATTCTTTCTAGTTTTGTACATTTTAAAAAACATTTCATTGACTTTCTTCTCTTTCTTTCTTTTTGCTATTCCATCCCTATCCCTCCCACATCTCCTTTCTACTCCTAACCTTCCATGTAGGGGGAAAAAGAGAAGAAAAAGTCCTTGTAACAAATATACACAGTCAAACAAAACAACCCCCTGTGTTGGCCCTCTATGAAAATTTGTGTCTTATTTTGTATCTTGAGTCCATCATACACTACTCCTACAATAGATGAAATATCAAAGAGCAAAGTCGAATTCTCCCAGACAATTAAGGGAAGAAGACAAGTGAGGCTTTACTGCCACCCTCTGGTCCCTGACTTGCTACTTTGTTTACGTTATGTCATATAGATTTTCATTAACTTATCTGTAACAAGCTCATTTCCCCCAGTAGGAGGGATTCAAGGGCAGGCACTGTGTATCCCTCGTGCCTTTGCACACGATAGGGGCTTGTTGTTTTAATGAAAGTTTTCAAAATTCCTCTTTGCCCATCCCTGATGGTCCAGGACCTTTTGCATCTTCCTCCATCCCAACTTCTGTGCCCCCACGTATCACTTTGATTCTTCCATACCCTGGGTTGGGGCAGAGGGGGCCGGCTTAACCAGACTCTGGGGCCCAGGCAACTGCTCCAGGATGTGTTCCAGATGCTGTGTGATCTCGGTGAAGGGGGCTCGGGAACTAGGTTCCATCTAGAGAGGAGATGGAGTTTGAGGTTCTTGTCCAGGACTCCTTCCCAACGTGAGACCCTCCCTACCTCCAGCCCAATGACCTCTGAGGTTAGTGCTGGTAGGTCCTGGGCATGAACCTGGTTCAAGTAGGAAACAATGTAGGATTTTCTATGAAGCTAAAGGGTTGGTGACTGTCATTGCTATGAGTCTGTGTGTGTGGGGAGAAGGTGTGAGGCTCAGGGGCTTGATGGGAGAAGTAAAGGCTCTTACGCTACAGCAGTGGATGGCCAGGAGGAGGAAGGGTGGGGGGCAGTCCTCCCCAACCAGGGCACGGAAAGCAGCAACATCCAGACCAAAATCCTGAGGAGAGAGAAGGGGTCAGGCCTCCTCCCAATTAGCTTCTCAACCTTCCCACAACCCAACCATTGGTACTAACCCCCATCCCTCATTCAGAGTCCCCTCCCTCAGCAAGCTCTCCCTAGTTAAAGGAAAAGCTATATTGCTCCTTTCCTCTCCTCAGCCAATAGCACTCACCTCAGTTCGGGGCAAATAGTCAGGGTCAGCAGGCACCCGGGCAATGAGTTCACACAGGACAATCCCAAAGGCAAAGACATCAGCCTGGGGTGTGGGGTAGGGGGGTTGGAGGGAGAGAAACACAGGATGGGATTAACAACTCCCTTTTCCATTGCCAGGAGTATATGGGAGTGAAAGAACTCAGGAGGACTCTTGGTTTTCTACTATGATCCCTGGGATACCTGGGGCTCTTGCCCCAAGACAGAAGAGCTTCTCAAGAATGCAGGTTTTGGCTAGGGCATGGGGGATATGTCTGATGAGGTCAGGGAAATATTGGGGCTCTAACATCAGAATCCCTGAGGGGATCAGAAGTAGCATACTGGGGGGAGGGGAGAAATTATGTGGGGGCTTTAGAAGTCTCTAAGGTATCTGGAATGACTCTCTGAGAGGTTGTGGGGTCATTAGACTTTTGAAGCAGTCTCTGAAAGATGAAACTCTGTGGGAGAAACTCTAGGCAGTAGCTAGAAAATCAACCTGAAGGATCTTTGGAGGGTCTAGAGGTGGTGCTGAGGGGTTTCTCATTCATTTATTCATTAAATTATAAAGTACCTTTTGCATAAAGAGTACTATACTAGCTTGGTAGAGGAGGTACAAGGTCTAGACTAAGAGACAAACTCTGCCTACATGACCTCATTGTCAAATGCATTCATACGGGACAACCCCAAAGTCAGACGCCTCTGGTTGGAGGACAGGACACCATTTACACCTCAGAGAGGTCCTGAGTGATCTTGAAGAATGGAGGAGGGGTGTTTCTGGGGGTCTCACCTTCTCATCATATAGTTCTCCTCGAAGTACCTCAGGTGCCATCCAGTATGGGGAGCCAACCACAGCCAATGGTTCCTTCCTTGCCCCTTCTCTGTAAGTGGAACAGGGCCTCTTAGACTAGACTCACTCCACACCCTGCCTTTTAACTGTTTCTTTCCCAAAAAAAGGGGGTACCATGAGCCACCCCAAAATCCAGAATGACCCTCAGGGAAATAGTTTTGGAGGGGCATAGTTCCACTGGAAGTATTCTATGGAGGCAGATATTTCAGTAGGAGGTATTTGGCAAATGAGGTGGAAATATATACATAACACAACACAACACACACACACATGCTTAGGATGGTCTTGGGTGGGCCGCTATCAAGAGGAGATAGGACTAGTCACCTTACCTGTACACAGGGATCTTCTCTGCCAGCCCAAAGTCACCCACAACAGCTGTAAGGCCCTCCTCTTCCCGGCGTACCAGGCAGTTCTGACATATATGTGTATATATATATATACATATATATGTATATATATATACACACACACACACACATCACCAACACTCCCATTACCTTCATCATGCATCCAATACCTTTCTAACAATCCCAATCCCTCATGTCTCCTAAACCCCTGTCCATGTTCATCAATTCTCCCAACTCCAACACCTCCTAATTCTGCCGCAATCCCTGTGTCTATTCACTTTTGTGTCAAAGAGAAAGGGCCTACCTTGGAGGTGAGGTCCCGATGGAAAACCCCCTTAGCATGTAGGTAGCGGAGGCCCCTGGCAATGTCCAGGGCCAGGCGGAGTCTAACTGGCCAGGTCAGAGGCTCTGGGGAGCTGAGGAGCTGCTCCAGGGTTCCCCCGTTAATGTACTGTAGGACATAGGAGTTGTGGGAGCACAAAAAGGTCAGAGGAGCCGTAGGCTGTGCTCCAGGTCCCTCTCCAATCCTGTACGGGGATACTGGGAATTCTGCAGGACCAGATGAGTGAGTGCCTGGGCAAGTTCTTTGTATACAAGAATCCAAGAGGGAGTGCAGCCAAGGGGTCATATAAACGTTGTCACTTCTCTTC